CTTCGCAAACACTATATATACACAACTAGTACGCACCTATAAATAGTTCATAATTAATCTTAAATCGGCATATTTGCCATATTGCCCCAACTTGTCGAAACGTCCGTAGAAATTCATAAAAAAAATCCTAAAAGAGTCCCGAGATGATTATCTTAGTTAACCAAGTGTAAACCTTGAAGAAACTCCAATAACTACAAATTTATATCTCCAAAACCTTGCTCCAAACGCAGTTAATAGAAGGGGAAAACGATTACCACGAGTAAAGATCACGTTTCTAGGCACGGGGGCAATCTTTAATGGTAGAAATCGTCGAAAACTTACCTTCATCATGAAAGTACTCCATAGGAACCTTCTCTTAAGCTTTATTTCTGGTTTGGAAGTAAAATGAAATGTTTTCATGGCTTAAAACGTTGAGTAAGCCGACATACCACATTTTTAACCCAACCCGGATCCGATCCCGACAGTCCGTAGTAAAACCCTCATAACCTTTTACTCCGATGTCGGTTAGATACGGGGTTTTGTGAGTTACAAACTAGACTCGTAGGCCTTTAATTTAATGGGTTATAGGCCTTATAACTCTTTGTATATTGGGAGAAAACATCCAAGACATTTGACCCAAAGTTAAGAAAATATTATTAGAGTTCGATTTAATGGGTGATAGGCCTTCTAACTCTTTGTATATTGGGAGAAAACATCCAAGACATTTGACCCAAAGTTAAGAAAATATTATTAGAGAAACTTCGATAACTTTTGCCGACTTTAGTTTCACTAATTTTCTTGACTTCCAAACTTAACATACGACCCTTGTGCTATTATAATACCTCATAACACACTATTCTTAGCATGTTGTACACTTATAATCTTATCCACAAGGTATGGGATAATTTAAACCTTTCAAATGGGCGAAGTTCTACCCGAGCCATTTCTTTTCTCATGAACTTTGTTTGAGGGGTTCCTTTGACCTAAAACTTTAGTTTAGTTCCTTGATATTGCCACCTACTTGCAATCTTAATCTCCAATGTATGATACAAAGTCATATACACCTCATATAACCATGCCATACTACGCCACATATATTATGCACGATTAGAGAAAAAAACTACGGGGATCTTACATTTAGCAATAAAATTTGTAGCAAATTTCAGTTTTTTGTAGTGATTGTCGAGTGAAAATATCGGATCCTTCTAATGCTATGCACTTTTGGAGAATCTGACACGTGTATAACCACATTTTTTAGGGTCCGAGCAACATAGAATACAAGTAGTCCGGTAGTCAACTTAATGCAAAAAGTTAAATGTTCGTAAGAAAAATCATAAAGTATGTGTTTTTATGTGTAGATATGCTGATACAACTTCTAATTTAATGATAAACCAAACAAAATAGAGACAAACAAACTATGTGTAATTATAAATAGGGTTATGGTCTCCAGATTAGACATGTAAAAAATTTTCTAATAGTCCACCATTAGAAAAGTGAATAGCACATCCCTTAAAATTCACGTCTTGATTTGAAAAATTGTTCTATTTGAGTTGACATTTCACAAGAAAAAAAAGGACCTTGTCCTTAATTCTTACTTGCCATACATCATGGAAGAAGCAATATTGCAAAAACACAAAAACAAAATGATCAAGATTCATACTGTGGGTCACGAAGAGATGTACAATTTACATGACATGTGGAAGCCGGTGAATTTTGATCATCCCACCACTTTTGAGACAATCCCGATGGAATCAGACCAGAAACACATGATTTTGAAGGATTTGGAGAGATTCATGACGAGGAAAAAGTATTACAGAAAAGTAGGGAAGGCATGGAAAAGAGGGTATTTGTTGTTTGGTCCTCTGGGGACTGGGAAATCTAGTTTGATTGCTGCAATGGCGAATTATTTGACCTTCGATATATATGATTTGGAGTTGACTGCATTGATGAGGAATTCAGATTTAAGGAAGTTGTTGGTTGCCACAATCAATGAGTCAATTTTGGTGATTGAGGACATTGATTGTACCATTAACTTGCAAGCTAATTTGCTTAATCGAGCTATTTATGTTAGTTCAGATGATTTTCATCAGACAGAAAGCACGGTAAATTAGTCATATTTTCTGTTTCCTATCTTTCCTATTCCTCTTTTTGTGCAGTATTTCGACATGACAAGAGTGTGAACAAAAATATTTGTAACTACATATTATAAAAAGTATTGTGTTAGCTATGAGCTATTTAGCAATAAAATTTCCAGCAAATTTTAGTTGTTTTTGTAGTGATTGTCAGGTGTATGTCGAAGCTATGCACTTTTGAAGAATCTGACACGTGTATGACCACATTTTTTAGGGTCCGAGCAACATAAAATAGAATTAGTCAAACAGTCAACTTAATGCTTAAAGTTAAATGTGAAAATAAGAAGCATAATAAAATATGTGTTATTATGTGTAGATATACTGATACAACTTCAAATTTAATGATAAAACAGACAAATTAGAAACAACCAAACTAAGTGCAATTATAAATAGGATTGTGGTTTCCATAGCAAACATATGTTGATACAACATTTAATTTAATGATAAGCAAGATAAATTAGAAACAAACAAACTATGTGTAATTATAAATAGGGTTATGGTCTCCATATCAGACCAATGATATTTTTCTAACAGTCCATCATTAGAAAAGTGAAAATCACTTTTCTTAAAATTTAAGTCTTGATTTGAAAAATTGTTTTATATTCATGAGTGCTCAGATAAGTTTACGCATTTAATTTACCTTCGTAATAATTTAACATAATAGATCTTGTTAAGATGATGTTTTTTTTAATCTTGCGGTTTTATTCCAACAGGTGATAGATGTTTATAATTGACAGACATTCAAGTGGATTTGGCTCTGCAGACAAATAGAGTCTAAACACTTCTACAACCCCAAAGACATGGATTCCGCTGAGAAATCTGTAATAAGGCCCTTTGAGCTGACATTTCATAAGAAAAGCAAGGACCTTGTCCTTAATTCTTACTTGCCATACATCTCAATATTGCAAAAACACAAAAACAAGACGATCAAGATTCATACTGTGGGTTACGAAAGAATGTACAGTTTACAGAGTTTTAGGCTAAAATCATCCCTCAAGTATAACCTAAACTTAGAGTACATCCTCATGATATAATTGTGAACAAAAAACATCCGTTAGTTATTCTAAAACTTGCATAAAACCTCCTTTCTGTTAACTACGGTTTAAAAACTAATAGAAACAAATACATGTGCTAAGAACGTGACTTCCCCAAAATCTCCATATACTGTAGATTGATTTTTAATCTTCATGAACAATAACGCACAATAAGTTGAGACTCTTCTTTCATGCTTTTGTGCAGAAAAATGATCTGCTCCAACTGTCCCACTTCCAATCTAACCTTCAGCAACGCTTTGCTAACCGAGGGTTGGAATCGACTACTCATATAACTGATCATTGCACTCAAATTTTCGAAAAAAACTAATAGCAGCGATAATTTAGAAGATGCACAGTCGTTGGCAATTCGGGAGAGCTCTTGAGAAACAATTTGGAGAGAAAATACACCAAGCATGTTGGCCTGAAGATAGATTTTTTCTTAGTTGTGCGAGGTGCCGCTAGAAACATGATTTCTCAGTGGTCGATAAGGTGCTTTTAATTAAAAGTGTCATCCATAGAAACTTCAATGCAATGATAAAGAAAATTCGGAATCTCTGTTCCTACGTATTGTTTCTTGTTTTTCAACCTACAAAATCTGATGATTTTGAAAGTGAAAAAGATATTTAGTTTGAGAAATAACAAAAATAGTACAATATTGGTAAAATCAAATCTTTTTCAATGGCTATTTCTTTTGCCCAGCTTCAATTCTTATGTTGAAAAAGAACTTGTACGGTTGCTTAAGTTCAGAAGAACAGGAAGTTTTGTTTCTAGAAGACAAAAGCCCTGCTGAATATTGAAAACGATCAAAATTTGGGAGGAAATCAGTAGTATAGTCTATGTGATTTGGTGGATGTCATGTACTTGGCACATGTAATTGTTTCTGTTAGTTTTTTAACAGTAGTTAACATAAAGGATGTTTATGCGTGTTTTGAGATAGTTAAAGGATGTATTTGGTTCACAATTATACTATAAGGATGTACCCTAAGTTTGGGTTATACTTGAGGGATGAATTTAGCCTAAAACTCACAGTTTACGTGACATGTGGAAGCCGGCGAATTTTGATCATGCTGCCACTTTTGAGACAATCGCAATGGAATCAGACCAGAAAGACATGATCTTGAAGGATTTGGAGAGGGTCATGACGAGGAAAGAGTATTACAGGAAAGTAGGGAAGGCATGGAAAATAGGGTACTTGTAATTTGGTCCTCCGGGGACTGGGAAATCTAGTTTGATTGCTGCAATACCGAATTATTTAAACTTCGATATATATGATTTGGAGTTGACTGCAGTGACGAGGAATTCAGATTTAAGGAAGTTGTTGGTTACCACAACCAATAAGTCAATTTTGGTGATTGAGGACATTGATTGTACCATTGACTTGAAAGCTAATTTGGTTAATCGAGCTATGTATGTTTGTTCAAATGATTTTCATCAGTCAGAAAGCACGGTAAATTAGTCTTTTATTTTCTATTTCCTATCTTTACTATTCCTACTAGGTACAAACTCAGATTTATACCAAATGATTAAATAGAAAAAGTTGGGGCTATGTATTTTAGTTGATGGGGTAGTGTGAAATCTGTAGTCAGGGGATCGGTCATGTAAAATCTTGCAAATTGAAATAACTAGGAAGGAGTTAATAATCGGAAATAGTCATTTTTGGAAAGAATGAAAATTTGGAAATTTTGTTAAGTTAGAATAAGTTGAGTATTGGTCAACTTCAAACGGACATAACTCCTAGATCAGGATGAGTTAGGTATACTTCCAAATATGGTAGGAAAGCTCTTGGAATAATCTTTCCAACGCCGCCGAGTTTGCGTGATTCCGAGTTCGTATGAGTGAGATATGCTTTTTGGAAGTTGGGTTGTTCGAATAAGGAAAGTCCAATCCGGATTTCGGAAGGATAATTTAGTATTTTCCTTACCCAATTGTTTTAATTCGTTTTTAGGATTTTAATTGGGGTAAAGTAAGATTTTAGTCAGTTTAGAAAAGTTGAAGTTCACGCTAGGGCTTGGAGAAAAGAGAAAAGAGGAAAAAGGAGAAGAGAAATCAAGAAATCGTCAAGAACGTTCGAGTTTAGCTTGTGGATTTCGTCAAGGGGTGATCCCTACGAGGTATGTGAGATCACATAGCGTTGAGTCAGTTCACCCATGCACCAAATCATGTTTTATTTCAGCGAATCAAGTCTTTGAAAGTTTAGAAATTGAATTCTTGATGGATTTGTTGAAGCTCCTTTGAATTCTTGATTCGTTGAAATTGTTGAGGAGTTGTTTGATCCCAATTCATGTAATTAGTTGTGATTTCAAGTATAATCTGATGTATTTGGATGGTTTTGTCGATTCTAAATGTTTGAGGAAAGAACCATTGAAGTTTAGAGGGTTTAGAGATGAAAAACGAGCAAGAAAAGTCGTCAAACACCTAGGGAAAAGGGTGGGGCGTCGCGCCAGCCAGCGCCCCCCAAAAGGGTTTCTTAATTTTCACCCTTGGGCTCCGTGGCAGCCAGCGCGCCCCAGACCCGTCTCTGAATTTTGAGGGCTGGCTCCCCGCACCTCTCAGAGCACCAGGGACGCCAGTTCTCCCCATTCGTCCCCCCATCTTTTCGTACTTGTTCCTTAGCAATGTACCTATCTTTTCTAGTCAATTCCAACACTCTAAGGTACATCTAAACATCATGAAATCATCCATAAACATGAGATCATGAACCTTGAATCCATAATTCAATTCAAGGAAAGTTAAGA